TCCACAAAAAATTGATTGTTCAGCACTAGGATCAAGCAGAAATATTCAAATGCTATGTAGTACACAGTGAATTGTAACTATGCAATACCATTTGCATATCTGTTTTCAGAGTGTTCACAAATAATTCTATCAAGGAGAAATATTCTTAAATATGAATGCAAAGAATATAAAATAGATTAATAGCAACCTAGTAAATTGAACCTTAGTCAGGGGGGAAAATTAGTTATCATGTTCTTATGCTGTCATGTCTATCTAATAGGCAGTAGGTTGGGAAACTATATTCATTATTCAAACATTAATTCTTTGATTCTTTCACAAAACTGACTTACCAGTCACCCCCAACCTGGTCCTACTATGTAATGTGTTTTAACCTGCCCCTTAAATGCTTCATCAAGGGAAGCATTGAGTTGAAGTGACATGGCTGATCCTCTGTCTTATGTGCTTATATAGTGAGGTCTACATCAGTGTCCTCGTGTAATCGTGTGGTGAGGATGTGTCCATATGTTTTTAGGTATAGGTTTGTCAGAAGAATTGAATTTTTGTTTATTTTAAAGTGGTGAGTGCTGGCTGAGAATGTTGAGTTTAAATGGGTAAGTTCCACTGAGGTGGGTATACCTAATTTGTAATATGGCCCAACTTACACTGCTAAATACGCAACCTAGTGCTTTATGTTATCTGTTATGTGTTGTACTAGTTGATGTTCTATGTAACATTGCTGTAAACTATCAAACCCTACATTACTGATTTTAGGAAGCATCTTTTGAGTACCCATATCAATTCGAAAGAACAACAATGCCTTTAATCCATGGTTAGAGAGGTCTGATTGCTTCAGAAGTTGCCTAAATTGTCAACATGAATGTAAAGAAAGCCAAACGAATCTCATCTTTCTTATTCAAGTAATCTTTGATAGGAGTTTACTTGATATTCTGCTAGATCAGTTAAATTTGCTTCATTTTTTCAAGTTTTTTGCTTCTTTTTGAAGCCTTAAATTTGTTAGGTATGATGTTTTGTGTCTCATAACTTTTGAGAAATCCATGTTTGAACTTGACTTGTTCTGCTGTGCCATTGACAAGTTGATGGCATGATGTTCAGGATTGCTATGTGTTCATCATTATAGGGTATTGTGAAGGAGGGGACATGTAAGTTCTATTTCTTTGTTAAATGAGTTATTTAAAATGTGTTCTTGAAGGAATATAGACTATATAGTAGACCCAGTGTTGAAATATTCTGTTTTATGTCTATTGGAGTGACCTTTGCATATTGTCACCTTTTTTTCATGTAGGGCAGAAGCAATTAAAAGAGCAAATTGTGTTCATTTTCCTGAATAGGTTGTTAGCTGGCAGTGAAGATTATGCTAATAATTCCAATTTTTGTTCTGCATATCTCCATGTTGGGAATTCCGTTTTAGTTCAAGTCATTTTTATTTCACATCTGGATGTTGAACACTGTGCAGAAGCTNGACGACTCCGACCCCCTCGAGTATCCCTCGGCGCAAGTTCCACCTGAACAGGTTGGCCTTTTAGCCCGATTCTGACTTTCCCTTGGAGGCTGAGAACCCTCCTTGGCGGTCACGTCTCTCGGGCGAGTGCCTAATCCAATCCTTCCTGGAGGACCAATGCCAGGGGGGTCTGGATAGGTTCTAGCTAGGTACCTGGTCCCCAACCCCGCGACTATGGTCACCCGCGCTTGCTAACTGCTCGAAATCGTCAAGACATTGCTAAACTTTGGTATTTTCCCTTTCGAGCTGCTTAATGCGTTTGCCCATCCGCTTTTCCACCATCTTCACGATGTCATGGGCTCTGAGGTCACGCCCCCCAAGGCCCTAATCCATAGGGAGCATTCTTTGCGAAGAATGCCCCACCCCATCTGATTGGCACAATAAACCCGGCTCCAGAACCATTGGAAGTTGGACGGGTTCTGCGTTCCTGGCCTGTACACCTGCTCTCTCACCCTGAGATCGAGTGTTCACCATCAGACGATTGCTACTGGAAAAAATGCTTTCGTTCCCACAGACGACGCCAAATTGCATGGGATAATTCCTGCAATCGTATGAGGCAGTGAGCTCCCAGTTGGCGAACCTGAAACAACAGGGTTAGAAAAAGGGGGCCAGGCCTGTGCCCGGCTAATCGCCTCCGAAGCTTAAGTTAGTATAAGGTCGAAGGGTTTTGCTTAATAGACTATTTTTCTCGTTAAAGTTTGCGTATCTTTGTCCATTTTTCTGATGAGTATTTATACCTGAATTAGCAATGATTGTCAAAGATCTCCAGTCCTATCTGGACATCTCACATCTGACACACCAGTTCTCGTGCAATGAGTGTTTTCTATTCACGTCTCCTCCTATTGAATGCTAGAAAAATGGGGTAAATGCTCGGTCATGTGCCAAGCCTTTATGCCACTCCCCGAGTACCCAAATCCCCCAGATCGGCATCTGACTCGGGGGGAACAGTTCCTCGAGAGATCCGCTCGCGTCATCTCAGCGCATCAGCCATTAATGCTTAGCCATCATGACAGTAGGCTTAGACTCCCAGAGGGCAGGTGTTGCCAGACGCGCATTTATTTGTCTTGTCACTATCACTCATTTTGCCATAAATGTGGAGTCACATCGCATTGAATACGATGTCAGCTGTCGTACTCGGCCGCTCTGTGTCAGTATACCTCGGCTTACCTCCTCGGCACCCTTTGGACGAGGCCAGTTGTCGTACTCGGCTGCACCGTGTCACCATACCTCGGCTTACCTCCTCGGCACCCTTTGGACATCCCAACGGCTTCATTATTCCACGTGTCCACCCGGGGACTTAAGAGCCAACTAGAGTCCCGCCAATTCTCTTTTTAATATTCATAAAAATACCTCACCGCTTAACAAAAAAAAAAAACCTCACTGCTATCTCTGTTCAAATTATTGAAAATTTTTCACTTCCAGTTGCTAGTGAAGGTAAGAAGAAAAAGAAAAAGAAAAAGAAGTCAAAAGGTGAAGATGATGAGTGAATTTTGTAATGTTTGATCTGGGAGAGGTTCAGGTAGGTATGATCTGTTTGGCTGATCCTATACTGATTCGATATATGTGAAATGCGAGCCTCCATTTCTTGACAGAAAGACAGGAAAAAAGAATGAGTGGCTAAATTGTATATATTGTGTTCTTTAACTGGGAGAAAAAAGAATGAGTGGCTAAAAAGAATGAGTGGTTTATTTTGGCGGCCTTTTGTTTAGTGAAATGGTGTTGGTTTTTCTTGTCTGTCTGTATGGTTACTGGGAAAATGTGAGAAGTAACAGAAAGAATTATTATAGGCCAATGTGTTTTGTTGTTGTCACTTTTATGAATTGAATAATTCTGTGTTTGCAATTGTTGGCAATAGTTTTTAAGGACCGACTTTTATGAAATAGAATATGGACCTCGTACATGATCTCAGACTCAGAGTTCAAAGTTCTCTTAGTTTCAAGAAGCACACGTAATCCAGCTTGGTTATGGACTGGATTTTGTCCCTATTTACGCCAGTTTAAAGTTAATACATGTACAAAGGGTATAACTGTTTATGATCAATTAAAGATGTGTAGCGGTTGGCATGGATTGATTATATATAAGAGTTGAATTAGAATTTATAGAGCTTTCTAATTTTGACCGACTTTAACTTTGTACCCCTTTTTTTGGGTAAGAAACAAAATAGCAATCCCAACAGAACAGATATGTATATATCATATGTTTGTTTTTTAGCCTTTCAGACCGTGAATCATTTATTCAACTCTTACTTGTTGTGGTACTCTAGCTAAGTGAAGGGACTTTTACTGATCCAAACATTGGGTGGCAACCAATTCTGATTTGCTTACTCTTACTTGTTGTGGTATTCTAGCTAAGTGAAGGGACTTTTCCTGATTTGCTTACATTGGGTGGCAACCAATTCTGGTTTGTAAAAATTACTCAACCCGAACACGGCCTGTTTAGATTATGCACATTTGGCATGATTAATTATTCTCTTATCTTCTTGCTCCTTTCACCAAATTTATAGATAAAGGAGCTGTCAATTTTCCCTGTTGTTCAATCTGGAAATTCTTTACTTTTTTATATGAGTTGCTAAATTGTATATATTGTGTTCTTTGACATGGAGAAAGGTGCTGCTATGGTGTCTAAGCTTGGAGTGAACTCGGAATATGCTGAAGTCAACATTGACGATATTAAATTATTGAAAGCAACTTTGCATGGTGCACCAATTATATTAATTACTTGAATTTCAAACTTCCATATCTGAGAAAAATGTTAGGAATTCGGCTTTTCTCATTTACTTGACCTTGACGTAATGAGCCAATTCAAGAATATAATTTCTGTTTTCTTATAAAACATTCCATCCTCCTATTCTGTTTAAGTTCATTACTATGGAAGTTCTTAGCTTAGCATATTTTTTCCCTTTGTGTTGAACTTTTACTTCCCTTTCCCGTGGGCACAGGTGCAAAGAGATGGTGGCAACAGTAACAAAAATCATTACTTACTCTATACAGGCCACTTTTCATTATCTTTTTTTTCCCCCCTATTATGCTTCATGTCTTCTGTCACATCTTAGCTCATGTTCATTTTAGTATTGATAAATTTTAGTTGCGGCTTGAACTCAAACTAACAGTGTTAGGAGAGTTTGGGACTCCTCCTACTTTGACTGTTTTTTAAATAGTCTGATCACTTGCAGCTGGACTGTTCACGTTACTGTTCATTACACATTCAGCTGGATTCTTTTAGCTTATGCCGGGGATTTCGTCACTCTATGAGCTGGTTTTCTGCTCCTTCAGCTGCTAATTCCAGTTGGAATTTTCATTCTCCAGCTGAGAGTCTTTTTGCTGTGGATGACTGTTCATGTCTCTTGGACTGGTCAGCTGGTTTTAGCTTCAGAATTTGGGTATATCTCAGCTGGATTGATTTGTTCCAGCTGATTTTTAATGCAGCTGAGGTTTTCAGCGATTTGTTCCAGCTTGGAGAATTAAGCAGCAAAGGTTTTTAAATCGAGCAAGTTGGAAATAGAATGGTGGACATGGTACATACATAGCGATTACCATTTATTTAACGTTTATAAAGGTGAACTCGAATTTGCTTTTACTGCTTTCCCAAACACATTCTTTTTGTTTCTTCTTCCTAATTGAGTAAAATGTGAACTCAAATTTACTTTTGCTGCTTTTCCTACAACTCTTCCACTTATAGCAATTAAGAAGATGACAAGAATAGTGGAGCTAATTAATTATATTTAGCAAGTGATAAATTGGCATTTCGCGTGCCTATTTCACTCATGATTGAATAGGGAAAAACAAAGCAAAAATTAGTGTGGACCAAGAAACCATGGCCAACTTTATTGTTCCACTTAGTTATGGGTTTTGTTTGTTACCAAATATGCTGCATTGGTTCCTTTCTATGCAGATGGATATTATTTCTAAGGTGCAAAATCCATATATTGTGGAGTACAAAGATTCCTGCGTAGAAAAGGTATGTGCATATTCTTATGTGAGACAGACTATTTTACTAGTGATTTATTTTTATTTCTTGTGATCAGGATTTCTTTAACCTGCTTACTGTATTATTTTGCAATTATCTTAGCATCTGTGTTACTTATTATTCAGTTTTTTTCCTGAAAATATAAAAGGGGCTTGCTGGTTTGGCTATGCTGATGCTTTATAACCAAGGTTCTGAAATTATGTGTCAATAATGTCAAGTATTGGCTGAGAAATAATTTTTCCTAAACAATATCCACAAAAAATTGATTGTTCAGCACTAGGATCAAGCAGAAATATTCAAATGCTATGTAGTACACAGTGAATTGTAACTATGCAATACCATTTGCATATCTGTTTTCAGAGTGTTCACAAATAATTCTATCAAGGAGAAATATTCTTAAATATGAATGCAAAGAATATAAAATAGATTAATAGCAACCTAGTAAATTGAACCTTAGTCAGGGGGGAAAATTAGTTATCATGTTCTTATGCTGTCATGTCTATCTAATAGGCAGTAGGTTGGGAAACTATATTCATTATTCAAACATTAATTCTTTGATTCTTTCACAAAACTGACTTACCAGTCACCCCCAACCTGGTCCTACTATGTAATGTGTTTTAACCTGCCCCTTAAATGCTTCATCAAGGGAAGCATTGAGTTGAAGTGACATGGCTGATCCTCTGTCTTATGTGCTTATATAGTGAGGTCTACATCAGTGTCCTCGTGTAATCGTGTGGTGAGGATGTGTCCATATGTTTTTAGGTATAGGTTTGTCAGAAGAATTGAATTTTTGTTTATTTTAAAGTGGTGAGTGCTGGCTGAGAATGTTGAGTTTAAATGGGTAAGTTCCACTGAGGTGGGTATACCTAATTTGTAATATGGCCCAACTTACACTGCTAAATACGCAACCTAGTGCTTTATGTTATCTGTTATGTGTTGTACTAGTTGATGTTCTATGTAACATTGCTGTAAACTATCAAACTCTACATTGCTGATTTTAGGAAGCATCTTTTGAGTACCCATATCAATTCGAAAGAACAACAATGCCTTTAATCCATGGTTAGAGAGGTCTGATTGCTTCAGAAGTTGCCTAAATTGTCAACATGAATGTAAAGAAAGCCAAACGAATCTCATCTTTCTTATTCAAGTAATCTTTGATAGGAGTTTACTTGATATTCTGCTAGATCAGTTAAATTTGCTTCATTTTTTCAAGTTTTTTGCTTCTTTTTGAAGCCTTAAATTTGTTAGGTATGATGTTTTGTGTCTCATAACTTTTGAGAAATCCATGTTTGAACTTGACTTGTTCTGCTGTGCCATTGACAAGTTGATGGCATGATGTTCAGGATTGCTATGTGTTCATCATTATAGGGTATTGTGAAGGAGGGGACATGTAAGTTCTATTTCTTTGTTAAATGAGTTATTTAAAATGTGTTCTTGAAGGAATATAGACTATATAGTAGACCCAGTGTTGAAATATTCTGTTTTATGTCTATTGGAGTGACCTTTGCATATTGTCACCTTTTTTTCATGTAGGGCAGAAGCAATTAAAAGAGCAAATTGTGTTCATTTTCCTGAATAGGTTGTTAGCTGGCAGTGAAGATTATGCTAATAATTCCAATTTTTGTTCTGCATATCTCCATGTTGGGAATTCCGTTTTAGTTCAAGTCATTTTTATTTCACATCTGGATGTTGAACACTGTGCAGAAGCTTTGTAACTGGCTAGTCCAATTCCTGATGGCACTTGATTACCTGCACACAAACCATATTCTTCATCATGATGTTAAGGTTAATAACATCTATTTGCACTATGTGAATGTGTAAATTACTCTCTGAATTATTAAAAGCTGACTTTGCGCTGATGTTATATCACATGCTTCAGTGTTAAAGTCACTTTCACTTTTATGGTGTTGGCAGGTGATTTTGGTCTTGCTAAACTGCTGACTTCTAATGATCTTGCTTCATCGGTGAGTCGTATAGCTACAATTATGGATTTGTTTTTCATGTTTATTCTATTGCACGATCTAATTCTGTGCCATATCTGCTTTAATTACAGGTGGTGGGTACTCCTAGTTACATGTGCCCTGAACTTCTTGCTGATATACCTTATGGTTTCAATTCGGATATCTGGTCTTTAGGTAAGTGCATTAACACTTTTGGACTTCACATATAGTGGAATTTGAGTGCATCTTTTTGCTGGCTATCCAGTATATATTTTTGACAAATACAATGTCCAGGATGCTGTATATATGAAATGACTGCACACAGGCCAGCCTTCAAAGCTTTCGTATGTTTGCTGTATGCAATTTTGAAGTTATGAATTGCTATATCATCACTTGGATATCGCAATGTGACCTTATGAATTTGAAGTCCCTATCGCAAGTGGTGGATTTTTGTAAGTCCTACTTGGTGTTTAACAGTGAAACTTTCTGCGATCCAAGACTTATTATAAATGATGCCAGGTTCGTTATCCTGTTCACGGCCTAATGTTGTTCTGGTTGTAGTTGATTTGATTCTGTGCTCAATTAATTTAATGTTCTGGTGTGTGACAGAGCTGAGCTTGAAAGGAGAGAAGAGTGTTATGATGTGATCATAGGGTACTTGGCAGACCCAATCAAAGGAGGCCCGTGTATTTTTTTCTTTTTTGTAAAAGATGAATTATGGACTTTAAGTGAATTACGAATTATCTGTTGGTTATGTATTAAAATATTTTGAGAAACTTGTATGTAGAATATACGTTGTTGGATATTTTGATGATTTGTATAATTTTTATTAAGTGTATTATATTTTATGTTTTTGTTAGTATGGTATTTGATGTTAGTTTGTGTTGGTTGTTGAATAAAAAAGATGTGAAATATATTAATTAGTTTTTTATTGAACATAGGTATTATTGCTATATAGGTGAAAAATTTTATTGGAAAATCATTTTTTAAGAAGGGTTGTATTAAAAAAAATGAACTTTTTTATGATGAAATTAAAATTGTCGCGAAAAATTATGGGAACAATCTTATTCGTGACAATTTTTATACGTTGAAAATGTATTTATTCAATTATGTTTTATATTTTTTATTTAAAAAATTATTTGCGACGATTTTTTTTATGTTGCAAAAAATTAATTAAATTATTATTTTTTACATTTTTTATTTACGTAAAAATTATTTGCAATGATTTTTTTGATGTTGCGAAAAATTAATTAAACTATTATTTTTTACATTTTTTATTTACGTAAAAATTATTTGAGACGATTTTTTCCGTCTTGAAAAATTAATAAAAATATTATTTTTTATATTTTTTATTTATGTAAAAATTAATTTGCGACAATTTTTTTACGTAGCAAAAAATTAATTAAACTATTATTTTTTATATTTTTTATTTATGTAAAAAATTATTTACGACAATTTTTTTACGTCGTAAAAAATTAATTAAATTATTTTTTTTACATTTTTTTATTTATGTAAAAATTTATTTGCAACGATTTTTTTGCGTTGCAAAAAATTAATTAAATTATTTTTTTTATTTTTTTTACGTTGGTGGAATAGATTTAGTTACGTTTTTAAAAATTTTACTGACTTTTTTTTTTCGCCGCAAATTTCTTTTTTTGTTGCGATGAAAATAAAATTGTGTCGCATAATACTTTCTACGACGAGACTATTGCGACGAACACGCGACGAAAAAAGTTGTCGCAAAAAATAATTTTTGTTGCAGTGAACATAAGGATTATTCGATGAGATTGAGTTGATATTCTGATGTAATTTGTAAAAAAATTAATAGAGTTATTCCAATCAAATCTTTTATATTTTACAAATTGAAATAGACCGTGAAAATATTTTTATCTCATGTTTGAATTCTGATCCATTCTTTTCCAATCCCTTGACAGCCCCATTGCAATATGGTGTTCATCCTTTACTATCAAGTGTCGGAAAATTGCGTTGGAAAATTTCTGCTTGGGCACATGGATATATTTAGAATGAATAGATCAAATTTATTTTAAGTTGTCTTATTGTCTTGCACTAATATTATAGAAACTGTACTCTTCAAGCATTTATTGTCACACGCCAATTTCTACAAATAAACATGAAGTACCTATTAACCATCAAACATAAGAGTATAACTAAATACCATAAAATTTAAATCAAAATAAATCACCATTCATTATCTAAGTAAACAAATCCCAAAAACAAAATTCAATCATCAAGGTTACATCAAAAACCTTAAAATAAACCAAATACCACATTCAACTAAAATAATGTTAATAACAATCATTCACCGTAAATAAATCTATCTATACTACTTATAAATGTCAATATCTGTAAAAAAAAATTTGGATTTTCTATTTTATCCTTAATTATTATAATAAATTCAATTATACACACATATATACTTTGATCTAATTTATGTTTTTTACACCTATTTGACTTTAAATTTACTTTGGAATTTTTTATAAGAACTTCTAAATTCTTTTGAATTCATTTATTAATAGTAAAATTATAGACAATTATATATATCTATATGAAGAAGTAAAATCCTATATATGTCAAATTATTATACACATTTAATTATCAGATTGAATTTCACGCTCTAATATATGTTAAATTTTATTTTTTGGTATGCAAAATATAATAATATTACAAAAGATCTAGTCAATTTATTTAACAAAATAAAAATAAATAACTCTATAATTAGAAGTGCAAATACCTAAAAGAGTCGGAGAGATACTTAAATAAATGACAAATTAGGTATTCGAAATTTATAGAATAAATCAATAATTAAATTTTTCAATAATTAAAATATGGATTAATTATTCATCATCTAATTTATTATAAAATTTAATTACACATAAATCACATTGTTTTTAAAAATAATATTATTTAAATTTATTTACATGTAATGCACGTCGTAAATTGCTAGTAAACTAAAGTAGATAAAAAGGATTCTAAGTCTCGAAAGCTGGATCCACATCTTGATCCACCTCAAACTCCAATTCCATATGCCGGCCTATAATGGTGTCCTCCTCTATACCAAAATCTAACAAATATAAGGAAGGGGTGAGCAAACAAGTCTAATAGAAAAACTTCCCCAAACATAGACAAGGTTTATAAAAATATAAAATAGGTCGGTCTCAATTTAACAAAATAACAAATGTAATTTTGAAAATAAAACATGCGACATGTGATGATCTCCAGTTTATGATATATAAATAGAAAATCTAGAACAAAGTAGAATCATTCAAAAAAAAATATTAGTTTTTATAAAAAATATGTATCAAGTAATCAAAAGATCATAACCAAGATAAACAAAACATAACAAACATATCTCATGTACTTAGGCTGATTAATTGTAATTCAAACATCAACTATATTTAGCCCACTCTCACACCCAATTCATCAAATCAATTCCCCATTGGGACACAATTTTGAAGTGCATATTTTTGACACATCAACATTGACAAAACCTTCACAAGATTAATATACTAACCCTCGTTCTCGATTACTGTGAGAAAATAGTAAGAATTCTTGGAACCACTAAAGGAACCAAGAAACTCCACTACGAGTGATAGGGAACCTTCAAACCTCTGAGGATAAGAAACTCATCTAAACACTATGTGATATACATTTGAGTGTAACCCACACTCATCACACCCACCAATTCCAGAAATAATATATGAACTTTCAATAAAATCTACATATCTCATAATTCGTAATTCAAAATTCTCAAAATAGATGAGTAATCCGATTAAAATATGCAAGAGATCATAGAAATATATATTCAAGTTAACCATAATCAAGATCCAGGGCTTTTCATCAAGAACATACTTTTGAATGTAAATCATGTAAGTTTTTCAAGAAAGGAATCATACAATTGAAAGGAATATGAAATTACTGTATATCTATCCTATGTATTTCAATCGGAATCAAAAGATACATATACTTAACTCTAATCTTCAATGAATAAATTTGAGAAAAAAATCTTAATTTAATCCACAATTAATTGATCTTAACATGTTTTGATGGTAATCCTTTAAGATCCCCATTTTATTCTTTTCCAACTACTCTTGGCTTCGTAGGGTTGAAAAATAGCTAAAAACAACCCTAAAACACATCCCTAGGATATATATTGGGTCAAACTGTTCAGGCGATGCAAATTTGCTTGCTGAAACATGCGTGTGTGCATTCGAATGCAATAAGTTGTGTTTGAATGGGCTTTACTCCCAACATCTCCTTGTTCTGCTACTGAAAATCCATCTGGCATGTTGTGCACTCGAACAGGGCATTTTGCATTCGAACAGACCCCTATATTTTGTTATTTGTCCAATTTTTTCAACCCAATTTTGACCTAGTTAGAAGTCAATTCGTGAAATTTCTATGAAATGCATTTTTGTAATTGTGGAAGTCTATTTTCCATTGCTACAAGAATTAAGGCAATTGGACATCACAGTAATTTTTATAACCTGTGCACTAAGATAGTATCAAATTTCTTCCAAATCAAACTTTCTCTAAATATACATTTTAACCCCTAAACACCTAATATCACCTATCCCAAGGTTTTTAACGTTCTGAATCTCTTTTTGAAGCTATTTTCATCTAATTATGTTTAGAATTTGACTAATTCAATTCCTCCCAAATATTATTACTCTAAAACCCTAAGTCATTTATAGCATCAATGACTCCTATAATAACCATTTAAATAAAAAATGGGGGTTTCCAATCCATCCCTTAAAAGAAATTTTCGTCCTCAAAACTGACCTCAAGCAGTGAACAAGTGAGGCCATTATGTTTGCATCTCTGAATTCAGTTCCGACATAGCTTCTTCCACTCTATGATTCTCCCAAAGTACCTTCACTAGAGGGATAACCTTGTTACAAAACACTTTCTCCTTGATATCCAAAATCCTCACTAGTTGTTCTTCATAAGTTAACCCTCTTATATTTAAATCCCTTCTAAGTCCACTACATGTGATGTGTCTAGTTCACACTTTCGTAGCATCGATACATGAAATACATTGTGCACCTTGACAATTGAGCTAGTAGATCAAGCTGATACACCACCTTTCCAACTACTTGATTCACCTCAAAGGATTTTAGTATATCTCGGGGCTAGTTTCCCCTTCTTGTCAAAGAGTATAACACCTTTTTGAGGTGACGTCTTTGAAAACACATTTTATTCTGCCTTAAACTACAAAGGTCTCCTTCTTATATCAGCATAATTCATTTCCCTGCTTTGAGTTGTACGTAATATTTCCCGTATTAATTAAATCTTTTATGTTGTCTCCCTTACAATCTCAGGTCCAATCAGACTACTTTCCACGGCTTCTACCCACCAAATTGCTTATCTACAAGGCCTCCCATAAAATGCTTCATAAGGAGCTATTCCAATTCTAGACTAGAAGCTATTCTTTTAAGCAAATTCTACCAGTGGAAAATACTCACTCCAACTCCCATTGAAGTCCAAAGCACAAGCACTCA